GCTTCTTAGTCAATCAAATTTGGGAATGTAGCTATCCAAGTTTTTTAGTTTAAGGCGTTCGGAAACATGTTAGCAGATAAATTTATAATATAGGGTATATCCTGTATTATGAATTCTGTTCGTTCAATATATTATATGCATTGTTGTAGCATTGCTAAACTTTTATTACTTAGATGTAGAAAGACTTTTTGTATTCTTAAAATTATTATATTTATCTATTATTATTTACTTACATTACTTATTTTACATTATTATAGGCAATACTCTTCTACTACATTTTTATAAAATATTAACTTGGAGCATATATCCTTGCTATGTCGTATTAATTTTTTAAGATAATTTAATACTTTTGAACTTAAAATTCTTGAATATTCTTTTATATATTATAATACATTATTTCCATAAAATATCAAATATAAACATTCAAAAAAGAAAACAAAATTCTTTTTTATCAGTCTCGTAAATTAAGCAACTACCTTTTCAACCCACTCTTAGATAGACCTGTCTGTGATCATCTATTTTATAAGAACACATTACAAAAAACAAATGTACTTATCTGATTTGAGACAAAAATCATGACTTGAAGAGATCTCTTTTAGAGATGTTGGCTTTTGCTTACGTTATTATTAATTGTTATGTGTATGTTTTAGTGTAATAAAAAACATAAAAAAAGCTCTAAAGAGACAAAAAAATTTCACGTGTCACGTAAAAATAATATATTGATAGTAAAATGTATTATACAAATACAAAATTTAAGATTATTGTTAACCAGTTTGTAAGATTTTTCTGAAAAATTCACATTTCTTATGGTCCGTCCATCCATGCACAATGATCTAGCAGCTGTGACGGAAGGTAAGTCAACATCAATGTAACGCGTTACGAACCGTGACATCGGTCGCGAAATCGATAAGCCGTTGCGGATTTATCAAAGCCTGTACACTTTAAATCAAAAGACATGTGTTTGTAACGCTGACACCCGTTCACCGTGGCGAATTGCCGAAGAAAGCCCGTGTAAATCCTAAAGAAATAACCGAAAAACCGAAATTTTTCTGCGATTCGATACAGCGCCGCGATTTCACGGTGCCCTATTACTGTATCCTGTCAAATGTAATGTTCTATTGCAATCCTGTTATTTTAATATGAACCTTGAAGTATAGTGGTTAGCGTTGTGAAATGTACAAGAGATTAGTAGAAAAATACTTTAACGTGACAGTGAAGGAAGGTGTTGCAGACTTTTGTGCAGCGATATCATCGAATCGGAACGAATCGAATACAGAAACGAGACCGATTTATCATCCCTAAATGCTAGCCCGCGCTTTTCACTATGCCCAACAAATGGACATCCCTCAAGACTGTAAAATGTCACGTATGCTTGGCGGCTTTTTGACACGTAGTTTTGTATTGTGTATTGTTATAGTATAGAATTTACAGGAAGGTTTTATCTAAAGAGATAAAATACAATATATAAACTGAGATTTATTCAGACAACATTACCTATTATTACAGTAGCATATTGTCGTAAAATATAAGAAAAATATACATATTAAACACTATTCGATTAGGTATTTGTTACAGTATAAATAATATCTATACATTATTTATGTTTTATCTAACAAAGTGGAGAATAATTATATAAATATTATTTAAACTATAGTTTTATATCAATTTTTAAAAGATACAGTGTAGATGATGATAATGATGTCAGCTATCAACTGTCTACTGTTGAAGATAGGCATTTCTTTGCCACGCTTGGTAAGTGGTTTGGCAACCGCAGTTAGGTTTTCTCTCAACCATTGAGTTCCATTAGTGGCCTCTTACGACACCCATGTAATAGGAAGGGGTGACCCATTCTATACCAGGAGCACACGCCATAGAATAGATCACCTCTATGTCATATACGATATGGCACATAAAAGTATAAATATATACGTACGTAATAATATATACTGGTATATATAATAATATAAATATATGATTGTGCGTAAAATAAATATGTGTGACATCTTAACAAATGTTAGAGTATACTGTTTCACCCATTATACCCCTCATGCGTTGCCATTCCTGAGGACTCAGGTGTTATTCCTCTGTACCCAGTAAATTCACGCCATATCCCACCCTTCAAACCGAAACACAGCCATGCAAACACAACTGCTTCACGGTTGAAACACAAATGGGACAGAGGTACCCAAGCAATCAACTTTTGTACAAAGTCTCCCTCTGGTATATATAATGGTATTATATATTTTGATAAAAATAGTTATAACTAAAATAAGCACCTAACAAATATACTTAATCATTAAATGTTAATTGCATAAATAACCAACTTCAATCTTGAGACAATTAATATAGGATACATACGGAAGTAAATCATTTTAACTAAAAGAAAATCATTAAAATCTGTTAAAATATATGACATGACATATGCACGAAAACGAAAAAATTGAATCGAATTTACTTTTGATACCTTCTACTATTTGTAGTAAGTAGATTGAAAGTTTTAGAGCAATAAAACTCGCTATGCCTGATCTATCTAATAGCTACAATATGCAACTAATCGCGGTTATAACGGGCATATGTATATCGATTTGTTAGTATGGAGTATAGCAAATCATATTAATTGAATTTAATTTGTTCCCACGTAGTATTTAGTAGCACTTTTGATACGTGGAAATTGATTTTAAATTAGTTATACCATATAAGAAATTGAACATAACACCGAGTAAGACTAGATGTTTAAATGTTCCGTGTCGACTTATTATCTCACTGGTTGTAGGTACCCCGCGGCTTTGTGTGTGAGACCAATAGTTATTTGTCCTAAATTTTACTAAAATTCAACTATGTAGTGAAAACAATTACGTAGATAACAATAAATTTAAATTGGTAATACAAACTAAACCGTAAAACGTTCGGCCTGGTCCAGGCATAGAATAGGCTACCCCTTCCTTTCCCGTGGCTGTCGTAAGATACCTCTAAGGGAGCTTATGGTGGAGGGATGAGCAGTAGCGTTCGTTTTAAAATATCACCGAAAATCAAGCTGCAGTTACCGATCAGCCTGCCAAACGTGGCAACTACTGGCAAAATCTTATGGGGGAGGCTATGTTCAACAATGGGAAGTTAACGGCTGATACAACAATATAAACTAAAAAAAATAAGGCGACTAACATAGGCATATCTTAGCAAAATAAAGTTTGTAAACTGACAAATAAACAAGTCTTTATAAAAAAAAAAAAAAAAAAACTTAAAAACTACGGCATATTAAAATAGCTGACATTAGTGTCAGTAGATTCTCAACATACTACCTTAAAATTTATGTTAATTAGATTAAATTTTAAATAATATTATTTATTATTATCATCTACATATTCCTGCCCTTTTCCTATGTCTTTCGTAAGAAGAGTTTTGCCAGTAGTTGCCGCGCTTGGTAGACGGATTGGCAACTGCAGTTAGGCTTTGGTGATATAGATGAGTTTAAAAGGGACGCTGCTGTTAAACACACATACATTAAGTATGTTTATACTTGAGATTGGCGTAATAAATACATTATATTATACAATATAGTACACTTACTACGTTTACGAGATTTTTATTTTATTTTAAAAAAGGTGAAAGTTATGGTGCCAAATTTCAAATGCAAGCTTTCGAAATTTAGCACAAGCGATACCTATAGCTTATATTATATGTAGGTAATTTAGAGTGCTGATAATGTATGTATGATTATGTGTGTCAGTGTGCCTATGTACTGTATAATTAACTTTATATAAATACTAAGATTTAGTTAAAACCAATTGTAAATCCCTTCGAACATCTTTTAACATCAATTCCACATATCTATTATAATTTGTCGTATTGTGGATATATATTCAATTAACTTAAATAGGGGCGCGTGTCACTGATTATTATGAGATTTATACTTGATTATTTATTACTTTACAGTTGTTGAGAACTAGATACTTAGCCATTTTTTAAGCCACAAAAATAGCATACATAGTATAGAGAGTTCGTTTGATGGTAAATGTTTACGGTAGGCTATGGAAGCAAACCAATACTTACCAGGAGTATTGCGTGTGTTTGCCTACACTGAAAAAACTTATAAAGTTACATTTGTTCCATATTTGAAAAAATTGAACATCGTATCTCTGATTATAAGGTGCAATGATGTAACGAGAATTGTTAAAGTGTGAATAGAAAATAATCACCTGATTTACGTATCATATAAGTGTGTATAATTACATCATTAGTAATATCGCATGCATTAAATGCCTTTATTAGATAAAGCCCTGTTTCAAATTATTTTGAATTCATTAGTCAGTTGTCGTATTTTGAATAACTTGTTTTTATTTTTGAACTATTTTCTTCATGCGTTATAACATTGATATTCTATGGTTAAAAATTATATAGATAAATCGATGTCATTAACACAATCCGTTCCGATGGTTTATTTTAGATTAATTAAAATTATTTAATACTTGATATTTTCATGAGACAACATCGTTACTTAATCTTTGCACTACACATATTAAATATACTATTTTACGATACTTAAGATCTATATTTGTTTTTCAAAAAATATACATGACGAAGCTCAACTATTGCTTGAATACAGCAGCCTCTATCCTCCTTGGAAAGTTACAAAACATAATATTGACTCAAATGATACATATGTATAATACACTAATACGATAATGGAAAGTAAATATTATGCTATTTGTGATAAGGCCCTCAATATTGTTGGGGTCTTGGAATCATATTTGTATGCATCTTTAATAAAATTGTTATTTTCGATTTTTACGTACAGGTAGGTACTTGTATTTAATATTACGTTGTTATGAATAACAAATAGCTTTTGCTTTGACTATCTTTTGTTTCAAGTATATTTTAATTCTTTTATAACTAGTACGTGTTTAAAATTACAATAAATTTTATATGACAAATGAATGACAATGAATTGACAAATGACGTTATTGATAGGGTATGGATGCGACTAAAATTAAACACTCAAGTTTTATTATTAAAATGTATTTATTTAGACATGGAGATCAAACGAAAGTCTTGGTTATTCTTAAAATAATCAGTCTAAAGCTTAAACTAATCTAGAGTATAAAAAAATAAACTTATCCTAACAATTGACACAAATGGAAGAATTCATCAAACAATGAAAACAAAAGTCACTTAAAATTATGATTATTAACTAAAGTCGAGCAAACGTCTAGCAACTAACATTATATCTATTCATTTAAAAGTTAAGTAGATTGGCACCTTCGGCCTACTTCTGTATGATTTAAAAATAGAGACCAAATAACTAAGAGTAAAATATTTTACAATACCTAATTACAACTCTATTTTAAAACTATTAAAGCTCTTTTGTGATATGTTTCATTGACCTAAACTAAATTATTTAACTGAGTATTCCAGAAAAATATGTTTACTTAATATTGCAAATTTAAAATTATTAAGTACTTATAAATATAAGTTTTTTTTTACTAAAAGAAGTTTTAATAATATCAAATAATTTTCCGGAACACTCAGTGTAATCTACAATCTAATAGTAATGTTACTGTATTCTACGATAAAGAATTTCCTTACACTAATTAAAGCTTCGATACAATAATATTGTTAATATCACAGACAATATAAAAAACTCTCTTAAATCTAATGGAAGACGTTGGATCCTTAAATCTAAGATACCGAAAAGGAAACAGTTAAATTACAAGATAATCAGTTCAGGAGAGAGCCGTGAGTGGTGCGATGATAATTACAGTGCAGATGATATTAAAGCTGTCTACCAAACTTGCTGTTTACTGTTACAAACAAACTATCGTGGAATAGACACAACGTTTCATCTAGAAATGTAATATAATGCTAACAGAGATCACTGGATAATAAGCTAATATCACGATCGCGAGTACACGCTGTGTCTCCCCCACATCTAAACGCGAGACTCGTTTGGGCGCGAATCTTTTAATGCAGAGATAATTAATATTGGCATTGATGTATTGTATATAGGTATATATAAGTTACTGAACATCAAGAGATTTTCACCAAACGAGACCACTCCTAAGTCTAATGGAAGACATTAGATTTGTGCTCTTTAACAAGCACCCACTAAATCTATGATTGGAAGACATGATTTTGTTTCACTGCATTTTAAAGCCAAAAGTTATACTATTTTGTGAAGAAAGAAAAGTATTTCGATTATAAACTAATAACAAAGTTTACATACGAAACAGGTCTTATTAGTTGAGTAACAGATTTCTCTTACTTCATTGGCCATATTGTCGCTGATTTCTGGGTCTTCAGAGATCAACTCAAAACGATTGGAGTTGGCGATGTTTTGATTCTCAGTGTTTTCATTGTCTTCCGCGGTAGCTGGTTTAACCGGCTCCACAGGGTAGAAGAATTCGGTGAAAGGCACCAAAATTGGTTCTTCTGGATATGCAGTCTTTTGCGATGGTAGGTCAGTGCGGGGACCTGCGTTGGAGATCAGCTCTCCAAGCTTCGACCAGCACTTGTTAAGGTTCACTCGCGTAGAAGACGTCACTTTTCGAGGAAGCCGTGGCTTTGCGTTCTGTAAACAATACAAAATATTTTTAAGATTGTAGTAGTGTAATTTTGAAAAAGTTGACTAGAATAGAGAGAGAAAATTGTACAACAACCGTATCGAATTACAAAACAATTAATGCTAGACTAATTAATTACACTAATAAGAAGTTTTAAACACAAATATTGTAAATAATACTAGTTCACGTAAATAAATGACGACTCTTACCTGACGATTGAGCAGTTTAGCCCACGGCGATCGAGGTGACACAACCTCCTTTTGCGGCGATGATTCTTTCTTAGCCAAACACATGTTTACTAATATTTACGAACTTAGTCTAACGAATTAAACTACGTATTTACAAGGTTACAAGATAGGAAAGAGCGACACGCACGCACGGTCGTGAGTCGGGAATGGTTGATTCAGGAAGGGCGGTGGGCTTTATATAGTGGTTCCCCTCTACGTGACCGCGCGTGCCCTGCGAGCGGGGCGGCGCGCGCGCAGCACGAGCGGTAGCGCGCGCCTACGAACTGGTTTTTACGGAGAACTTCTACGAATAGAGGCTTTGACGCACCGCATCTTAGAATAGTTACTAGATTGAACCGGCAAAGCTTTATTGATGACCATTATTTAGTTTTCGATTAAATTGATTGTTTGTGCTATGTATGAGGAATATTATAATGGATTTAATAGGTTCGATATTATCTGGTTCATTGTTATGCACATAATCTAACATGCTACACGTCGCGATCAAACAATCAAACATTGTGCGGAGTCATGTAAATAAATAATATTTGTGTTGTGTCCGTCGATCTAGTTAGCTGTCCCGAGGCGGTTTATAGGAATATAAACAGTATCTCAGTAGTATGAATCACGAAGCAGCTGGCCGGTGGATAAATAAGTTCCTTTGCATATTTATCTTACCTAACTGCGACTATGTGGCTTCCTGCGATATAATCGTTATACGGCACTCGCAAATCACGCTCGCCGCACTGATAAATCATTACCTCCGGTCACTTGGATACGACTAGGTACTTATGTACAGCAATAGATGAAATAGATATCGATTTATGCGGATGATGTTAATATTTCATTTATGTTTACTATTTTAAAAAGTGTTTCATATTATCTTAGGATAGGATTCATACATAGGATTCTTTTTCTAATAATTATTGTAAAGTTTCAGCTAATATTTCGTAACTAAAAAAATACATAGATATAGATATGATGAGTATATACTATACGCATACGTATGTGTATGTATGTAATATTTGATCAATGGGTACTGATGATTCTCTCTTTTCTATATTAATTTGGTCAAAATTTAAATTTGATTTTGTGCATTATAAGTTAAAATTATTTTATATGTAATAATAGAATACGACTGTGAAATTAATACACATTATAACCAACTCCTTACAACACTTACGGTATTATTTATATATTTCTAAATAATATAAAACAATTATAAAATTTGAGTTCGGTTTTCTTTAGTCCTTAAATTCTTTAGTGCTACGTATTTCGTAGCACTTATTGGCTTAACATAAAAAGAAGCGCATTTAATTTTCGATGTAATGATACTTGTTTATTTTTGTACTACGAGTATCTACACACAATACACATAATTATAGAGTTTTACTCTAAACTTTGAACATTACGGAATGCAATAAAAACATTGAATATAATTTACAAATAGTTTTATACTTTAAATTGTAAGTTCCACATATCTGTACACAAAGATTAAAAAGTAAAGGTATTTTTCAAATTAAAAAGACTTTTACAATATTATTTTCTTATAACTCTTATTAGACTCAAGTATATTCGTAGTATTAATGTTTCAGATAACTTCAACTCTGTAGTATAACATACTCACATACTCACATACATACATACATTCATACACACGTGCATGGTATATAATATAGCTACAAATACATAAAAAAAACATATATACATATAATTTTTTTTGTTCTGTAATTATAAAGCATAAAAATATTTTTATATAATCGTCGGTGTTAAATATGCGACATTTTAAAATACCTATCTTCTACGTAATAAATTTATGTACAATTTTTAAAATATAGTTGATTTAAATTACAATCCGCTATGATACATATATGGTACTTGAAGAGAAGTAATTTTAATTGCCAAGCCCGTTGAGAACTATAAATATGTGTATTTAATATTTATCGAATTAATTTAAATGACGTTTAAAAATATCCAATATGGCGAAATCTCTTTAGTATCCAATTACGGTTTGCGCCATTAGCCCCAATTCAGAATCCGATTTTAAGAATGTGTAAGGTAAAGACCTATTTATAATAGTTATTTATTATAATTGGTGAATATTTAATTGATATTTACCAGTTAACTTCGGCTAATAAAATGTAACCGTTTAATGTTGTCTTAATTATTTATAATGAATTCAAAAGGTTTGAAATTCGAATGCATTTAGATACGAGTTTAATTAATTTTTAAATTGATTATTTTATTGATGCCTTAGATAAAATCATGGTAGAGATAATTATATAAATAATAATGATTATATTTTATCTATGATTTATTTCAGTTTTATCTAGATTTTAGTTTTATTTGTAGTAAAATGCTTCTAATTATCTGTAAGTGAATCTTCATATAAAACAAGATCGCAGATGCTACTATCATTAATCTATGTATTAAATCTTATAATTGCAATTACTATTCTTTATCTATGCTATACAATGGGGCCTATTCTGAGGTGTCATTTCTCTAAATCTATTTCTAATAAAAAAAATTCAATTTGATATTAAAGCGAAATCTTTTTATTTTAATAAATTTAAGGAAAGAAATTATATACTTATACATATACTCGTAGTTATCGTTTTAATGTCAGTATCCATATAATATTTAAACACATTTAGATGCGTGAAAACCGTTTTATAAAGTTTGTGGAGATTATTAAGTATATTGATACATTTTTAAATATTTTTATAAAAGTATACATTAGCCGTAAAGTGTCCACTGTTGAATATAGGTCTTCCTATTAGGAGGTTTTGACAATAGTTGCCACGCTTAGCAGGTGGATTGACAACCGCAATTAGGCTTTGGTGATGTTTTAGGAAAGACGCTGCTGCCCATCCCTCGATCGTTAAATTCACTTAGTGGCTTCTTACGACACCCAAGGGAAAGGAAAGGGTGGTGCATTCTATGCCGGGACCACGACAATAGTAATATGTTAGTGATTATTCCCGATTATATCCTGATTATCCGGCATATATTAATTATTCTAAAAATACGAGTCGAAAGCACGCTTATCTTTCAATTATTCGCCGAACAAGTAATCGAAATATGAATATACCTACATTTACCATCTCCAATAATTAATATAAAGAAAAACAACCATAACAAACGAAGGTTTTAATGAAATAATCATGATTGCATGACTCCGCGCTGTATAATTTTTTTTTTTTCAATAATCGATTCAACAGATTACGACATAATCAAAGATTTAATTGGCATACTGTTAGTTATGTCTTAATTTTGTTTTAAAGATTTTGGTCCTCTCAAATGTTATGTACTGTCATTATATTTGTATGTAGTAATATTTTAATTTTAAGTTTTTTTTTTTTTCATAAATGGTGATAGAATGGTAATTTGTAACCACGTCTAAGGTTATTAAACGTTTGCAGAATACCAGAGTACCAGAATACCAGAGTACCTAATAAGAAAATTTCTTATAAGAACACATTAACGTATTCAAAAACTGCAACATGTAGTTCGAAAGCTGTAATCTATAATAAACACCTAATCTATAAAAACAGGCAGACTTAATGCTATAGGCATTCTCTACTAGTCAACCTTTAGGATATGCAGAAATACTCGAAGGTGGTTTAAAAATTTAAATTATTTATATTGTGGTATAAAATGGTAAATTACATACATACAAACATTCATGAAATAAACATATATATTAACATAGTATTTATATAATAATACCTACACACACACACACAAACACACAATCACATATACGAGTATATGATGAACTACTGCGTATTTGATTATTCATAAAGTAACTCAGTAAGTTTATCTTGACATATTAGATTTAATGTTTATACAACATTCCCCTTTATTTCTATTATGAATAATTATTTTAAACTATAAAAACTTGATTAAGATTCATCCCATCAATCCGGCGCATCGAAACGATCTGGCATCGAAAGCCGTAGTAACTGATACGCTCTCAGAAGAATTTTACACATAATACTTTCATTAAAAAGAAAAAAAAAAAAAAAGAACGTTAGACCACAACCCGACCACGTGCAGCCATCGGGGAAAGAAAATAAAAATCTTAAAATTTTTTGCCGCGTCCCCACATTAGGCACTCGGGCACAACTCGTGTAGGGTTACACAAAACGGAACGTTAACGTATCAAAATGTGCTTTATGAGTGTACTTATGAAATATTGCGTGACTGTGTGTGCGTGAAGCGTGCTTTACACACGACTAAAATAGTCATTGTTGTTGACTTAGGTTTAGGGTAACTTTTATGGTGTTTTCAATGAGCTGTTCTGCTATTGAAGTGGTGAAAAGGTTTTCATTATCTATGTTATTGTCTATTTGCGTTTAATTTAAATGAGAGCTTGATGATTTTTATTTACCGTCTGTGACTATGTCCTTTATCGTCATTATAATTTGTATAACAGTACTCAATAGACAATTCATCATCATAATTTCAGTCGTTAACTGTCTTCTGCTGAATATAAGATCATAAACAGAGGGAGACTTTGTACAAAAGTCGATTGCTTGATGAAACAGTTGTGTTTGCATGGCTGTGTTTCGGTTTGAAGGATGGGATATGGCGTGAATTTACTGGGTACAGAGGAATAACACCTGAGTCTCACACACCTCAGGAATGGCAACGCATGGGGGGTATCATGGGCGAAACAGTATACTCTGTTATGTCCATGGTACTGCTCATGTCTATAGGCGACGGTTACCACTTTCCATCAGGTGGGCCGTCAGCTTGTTTGTCCCCCACAGGGATGGTTTTGCCAGTAGCTGCCACGCTTGGCAGATGGGTTGGACTTTGATGATGTTTTAAGAGGGACGCTGCTGATTATTTCTCGGTCATTAGGTTCTCTTAGCCGCTTCTTATGACACCTACGGGAAAGGAAGAGGTGGCCCATTCTATGCCAGGACCACATGGCACGTATTAAAAATGTTTCTGTGATAATTTTAACAAAACTTGGTTAACTCCTCTTTAAGTTCTATTTAAACAAAATATAGTATAGCATTATATTATCTATGGTATTAGTAAATATTTATTCAATTTAAATAGAGGGGGCGACGTTAATAAAACAATCACGCGCGTAGATAAGTGCACGTACGCACGCCACGCGACATCACTCGTGTGACGATTACGTCCGTTCCACAATGGTTAAATTTCTATGCAGCGC